CGACGGCGGCGGCGGCGAGGGCGCGCGCGGGGCCCGACGGCGGGCGGCGGGCGGGCGTGCCTGCGCTTTGAAGGCGTCCCCGACGTAAGACGACGTCGGCGGCGACGGCGGCGACGACGGCGGCGACGGCGTCGGCGGCGGCGGCGGCGAGGCCGAAGGCCGTCGAGGCCGCCGAGGCCCGCCCAGGCCCGCCGAGCGTCGGCGGCGACGGCGGCGGCGGCGACGGCGGCGACGACGATGGCGGCGGCGACGACGATGACGATGGCGACGCATCGGCGATGCATCAAATGGGCCCCCATGGGGGCCCGAGCCCGAGGTGGAGACGCTTGGCGGAAACAATCCCTCCGAACCATATAAACAAACATCCTTTGCGATGCATCGGCGATGCGTCCAATAGACAAACATCATTTGCCATCGGTGCTATGGAGTGCGATGGCCTGGGCCGTCGCGTTTGATTAGGCGTCTAGTCGGAGCCAGGCGACCTCTGGGTCATTCACTTGCAACCTCCTTTGCCCCGAGATTACTTCGTGGCGCTGAAGGTCTGCAGGATGCTTGTTATGATTAAACCGATACATGTGGGAGACCCCCCTCTTTGATGGGGGGCGGGGCGACAGGGGTCCAGCAGGGGCGAAGACCGTCCCGTAGAAATGCCCCCGCACACCATACAAATCACGACTTTACCAGGGGCGACCGAGAGGAGGTGGCCTCTAGCAGCATTAGGGGGGAGATCACCAGACGCGGGCAGCTCACGCTCAGGCGGAGCGCTCGGGGCGCAGGAGCCCCCACGGGGAGCCACACGGCGAGCCTTACGCGGTGGGTTCGGCTCAGGAGGCGGAGAGGCAGGGCGCCGCATCCTAGCGGCAGCGGCCACGACGAGATCGTCGGCCGAGGTTCGAAATCGGACTCGCCTGTCGCCATCGCCAGGGAAGGCAGTCGAGGCGAGTCTGGCAGGGCGAACGAGGGGAGGCTCGTCCCTCCTAGCTCTGACAGAGCGATCACCATCGGGGTGCCCTCCAGGCGACCGCGATCGTGTTCGCGTCGAAGCAACGTCCACCCCGCAGACACATTGGGCTCCATGGACCCCATGAGGCCCTGAAGACCTCTGGGGCCCCCGAACCCTGGAACCCTCGACCCCTAGACTGGACCCCTAGGCCGTGAGAGGCCCTGAGCGCCGAGAAACCCCGAGCCCCGAGGCCCCTGGGACAACCGAACCTCGGAGACCCAGACCCCTAGATGCCAGGCGGGAGCGGCGGAGAGGCTGTGCCGAAAGGCACCTGAGCGGAGTTGCATTGCCACAAGGCAACAGATAATACACAACTCAGACAAGCAATGATGGGCACAACTGCAGCCAGGCCATCCAATGGAACATTGCCTCAAGCGTGCCCCACGCAAGCGCAATGGCACGCAGGGGAAGACCATACAATAAAACATTATTCGTATGGCATTGGGGTTCGATTAACTCTACAGGGCACACACTCAGAGGGGGCCGATCATAATCGCAACCACTTGTGGGGGGCGCACGACCACCACCGCATACATGTAGGAAGAGGCCACAATGACATTTCGGACGCCGAAGAAGCCACCGATAACCTACAAAAGCACCAGCGCCTAAACTCCATCCCACCAGCCACCAAAGACAGCAGAGCTCCCCCGTGCCAGGGCGCAGGCACGCTTCTGTGAAGACCCTAGTGCCCCGCCCCCCAGCTCGGGCGGAGTTCTGCCGCCTACGGGGCGGTTGGTGCACCTCGGAGGGTTCATTGCAGTATCATTCCACATCCTCGAAAGGTGTATTGCAGAATCGCTCCGCAGCCCTCGTTGGAACGCCAAAGGGGCGGCACCGAATCAGCAGGCCCCCCAACGCGCGAAAGCGAGGGGAGAAGGATGAGAAGCCATGGGATGTGGATGAAGAGGGCGAATTTCCGACGCAGAAGCTGAACGCCGAAGCGTTCGGTGCGCATTGGCTGACCGAAGCACTGTTCGAACTCCTTGGTGCGCCTGGGCTGACCGAGGCGCAGGTCCAGGTCCTAGGTGTTTCTCGGGACCTCGTGCTCGAAAGGCTCGTCGGGCGCCTGCTCCCGCTCCTTGGCGATGAGGCGCCTACCAGCAGCGCTCTCCTGGAGCAGCCTGCGAGCGTTGGCCCGCTGCGTTGGGTCGGGTACGAAATTAAACGTATGTGAGTCAGGAAGGTTCTCGCCTTTCAAACCCTCCCCGTAGATGATCCACGCGACGAGGTAACCGAGAGGGCGACCGTATGCAAGCGGAACGAAGCGATTGGTTGGGTAATCATTAGATGACCTCGTGATTTTGCAATCGCCGTGCTTTTTATTGCAGCAGTAAGCCATGAAAGCCCGCTTGCTGCGATACCAAGTCACGCGACCCTCATGGCCGCCCCTGCCCGTAAAACGCCACGTCAATATAGCGGCATATTCCAACAGGTCGCCTGGGTCAACGTCTTCTGGTGGCTCGTATGGCGCTGGCGGGGGAGGAACGTGCACACCAGATGGTTTTCCGCCTTCGAGCCCAACCGAAGCAGATGGTTTCGCACCAGGAGGATCACCCGAACCAGAACCACAAGGATCGCCACCATCAGACTCGCCAAATAAAGGGTCCAAAGCGTCGGGCTTCCAAGGTACGTGTGCCCCATCGTCGTCACTGTGGGCCAAGACATCAAAACCAGCTTCCTCGTCACTTGGGGCCAGTAAATCAAAACCAGCACCACCTCGGAGATCGTCACCGTGGGGCCCGTCCTGAAAGGTGGCGCTGAACACGCGGCACTGCCCCCCTGCTCAAGGCCCCAAGGACCTCTCCATTCCTGGACCACTGACCCCTGCTACACCCCATGGGCCCCCCTTGCGCCCCAAAGATTCAATACCCCAAAGGCCCGTCCAGACATGGGACCCCGTGCGTCGGACGTGCCAGCCAGGACACCCCATCCCCCTCCACCTTAAGATTCAAAACACCTTAAACATTTAATCAAGAGCTGGGGCCACGCGACGACGAAACTGTCTCGGGCGAGACGTAAAGGAGGGGCCAACCTTTTACGTGAAGGGGTAAAGTAGTAGCGCGGTGTGTAGCAGAGTAGGGGTTAGGTGGGCAGTGAATCCTCGAAGAAGTCGTCGACTCCAGCCTCGACGGCGGCAATGGCTATCTCGTCCTCGCCCTCCTCCTCTGCCTCGGCGATGCCGTCGGCTTCGCCCTCATTCGACAAGCACTCAGCGTCCCCGAGCACTGGTGGAGGAGGCAGCGCAGGGGCAAGCTCGGCACCTCGTCCACGCCCTCGACCACGGCCGCCACGAGCACGGCCGCCCCCTCGGGCGACCCCGTCGCCGCGGCGCCTCCTCGACACAACCCGCTGGATAGGCCACAACTGCTTGGTGGGCACATCTCCGAGACGATCGCACAGAACAAGAGCTGGAATGCATTCTACGATGTCCCGATCGTGCGTGGCCAACTCATAGAAATCAACTTCCATGGGGACCACTGGCGGGATGGGTCGCACTGCGTGGTAGCACGTGGGGTGCCACACGCAGGATGCCTGGGGAATCACTAAACCGATGCCAGCACCCGCGTTGAATCATTTCATACATGCATTTTAATTGGCAGTGGCCTCGGCTGGGCCGCGAAGCGGTAACCCAGTTACCCTGGCCAAGGACCCAGACATATGCAATTGTGAATCGCGCGAAGTGGATGCTGTTTTCGGTGGAGCTCCCTACATGGCCACGAAACGCATATGAAACGTCCGTCATGGGTGGTAGAAGCGCACGTGGGCGGCGGCACTGGGGCATGCGGTGGGGTTCCCTACGGCGCCGCGGTAGGCGAGCGGGGCTGTCTACTTGTTGGGCGGGTCCTATGGATTCGTTGGGAGTGTCCTATGTACTCGCTAGGAGGGTCCGATGTACTTGTTGGGAGGGTCCTATCTACTTGTTGGGAGGATCCTATCTACTTGTTGGGAGGGTCCTACCTACTTGCTGGGACGGTCCTATTTCTTTGCTGGGAGGTGGCTATGGCACTTGTTGGGCTGGCCCTGTCTACTCATTAGGAGGGCACAGTGTCAGTCCGACCCTGTAGCAACGCACGGGTGGCTTGTGTATCCTCGGTCTCATGGGTCTGTATGCCCCTGCCCTCCGCGCCCCCATTCTGGCACGCGCGTCGCGCGGTTCGTCGCGCCAGAGTGGCTTCCACCAAAGGCCCCAGTGATTCGCACGCGTCCGCAACAGCGGTTTCCGCACGCGCGCACACGCGCCACGCGTCACGTGGCCCCATTGGGGGCTCCACCGCAGGTCCTCGGGTCTTGTCGGCAAAGTTCGGACGCCTCCGCGCCGCCAATTTCGGCGCATCCTCTGGAATGTTTTTGATCGAGCCGTTTTCGGCGGGCCATCCTTGGGCCCGCTTAGTTGCACCACTCAGCCACTGGGTTCCCACGGAGGCGCGGCATAGCTAGCGGCGTGCGCTCTCGCGGCGGCCACCCCTGCTGGTGGCAGCGCGACTCTCGGTCAAAACGTGATCGGGGGCCGCGGGCGACCCGTGCTGGACCCGCACGCCGTGGGCGGGGCGGTGGTTCACAGCACGCCGGCGATGCTGCAGCGCCTTCTTGGAGGACGCTGAGACGACGCATCCAGAGGCAGCGGGCGAGCCAGAGGGATTGCAGACAGAGGCAGCGGACGACGCAGACAGATCTAGTTTTCTGGAGCGAGGGCAGGCGTGAGATCGCGCGCTACGACAGTGGCTGGCGCAATGGCGCGTTGCGCGACAGCAGCGATGAGGAATGGCAAGCGGGGTCCTCCAGGGAGGACTCGCAAGCGGCCCTTCCCGACACCTCCACAAGGCGATCCAGGACGCCGCGGCCCAGCAAGGAGCTTCATGCGCTGCGCGCTCGAGGGCGCTCGAGGACGAGCACGAGAGGATCTGCAGGTGTAGGAGCAGCTGCGCGCTCGAGGACACCCCGCAGGATCCTCGGCCGCACTGGGGTAGGAGCGGCAGGGCGCTGCGCGCGCGAGACAATGCAGGCGTCCAAGAGGCTGGAGGCGCGCCACAGGAGGGACCTGCGCGAGATGGAGGCGCGCAGGGCTGCGCTGGATGAGTCAATTGAGGCGATTGAGGAGAGCCTCGAAGTGCAACAAGAGCAGAGGCGACGGGTGCTGCAGGAGATGGAAGTCGCCCATCTGAACAACGACTTCGACGAGGTGGAGGTGTCTGCATTGGCCGTGGACGCGCTCGACGACTGGATGTGTAACCAGACGCGGAGGCAGATGATGGTGGAGTTACACCGCGACTCCGTCGATGCGCTGATTCGCTACAAACAGTGGGTCTCCGAGGATGGCTTGCAGTGATCGCCAGCGCCGAGAGGCGCAGCCGTCTTTGCTGCGCTTAACAGGTTCGAGGGGGCCGAGAGCGCCCACGGCTACGAGTGCATTGAGTTCGAGGCTTGACCGTGCTGCCGCCGCCGCCTGCCAGGCCCAGGGTGTTGCTCTTCCCCTTCCTCCTCTTTCTGAGCCTCCTCCTCCTCCTGCTCCTCCTCCCGCGGTGACCCCCGGCGCGCGTCGGAGGGTCACCGTGAGGGTTCCAGTGGCTACGGCCGCATGCGTCTCCATCAGCCATCACGGCACGGGCCTTCCCCACAAGTAGATGGGACCCTCCCAACAGAACATCGGACCCTCTCAAAAGATAGATGAGGCCCTCCCAGTACGCAGACGGGACCCTCCCAGCGGGTATAAATGACGCTCCCCGCCAGTAGATACGACCCTCCCGACAGTCAGATAGGACACTCCGAACATAATGAAATACCGTCCCAACAAGTAGATAGGACCGTCACAGCAAGTAGACAGGACCCTACGACAAAAATACATAGGACCATACCCAGTTCACATAAGACCCTTTCAACCCATAGGTGGGACCCCCTAACAAGTATATGGTACCCGCACAACAAATAGCTAGGACCCCTGAGCAAATAGGTAGGACTGCCCCAACAAACAGATAAGACCGCCCCTCTTCACATATGCTTTTCGGCTGTGCCATTCCGCTCCCGTCTAGGGTCTGGGGGTCGGTGGATCGGGGGCTCAAGGGATTTCAGTGGCTCCAGAATTCGGGGGGTTCCATCGCTGAGGGTATCTCAGGGCCTCGGGCCTCATGGGTTTAGTCTCTAGTCTGGGGGTCGGGGGCTCCAGGTGGTCCAGGGGCTCCTGGGGTTCGGGGCCTCTTGGGTCTCCAGTCATTTCGTTACGCATTGGGGGTATGGAACACTATGGGGCCCAGAAGTGTTGAGAACACCCCGCGCCTTGAGGCACAGCTCGTTCGCAGCGGCGTTGGCTCGCAGCCTGTCCTGCTCCGTTGCGGCTGGCATCGGCTGAAGGCGCAGCTCGAAAGGTGAAAGCGAGACCTCGTCGGCCAAATCCCACCAGCCCTCTGGGCGTAGGTGGTCTAGGGTCTAGGGTCTAGGGTCTAGGGCGTTTCCTCTTCCAGTTGCCGAATCAGACCCCTCTCCCTACCCTCTCCCCTGGGGTCTGGCCCCCTCTCCACCACCCCTCCCCCCTCCCCCCCCCCCTCCCCCGCCCCCCACCACCCCCCTCCACCACCACCCCCCCCCACCCCCCCGTCCACCCCCCCTCCACCTCCCCCATCCACCCCTCCCCGGATGTCCCTCGGAAGCTTTTTGGAAGCCCAGGTTGGGTTGGGACACTCTTGGAGCCTTCTTGGTGGGCTCTTGGAGCCCTCCTGGAGCTTACAAAGCACCGTCGTCGTCGTCGTCGTCATCGTCGTCTGAGGGCATTCCTGCCCGCCCCCGTGGGGGCAGAACTTCCCTCGCTGTCTCTCGTCGTCGTCGTCGTCGTCGTCGTCGTTGTCGCCGAAGTCGTCATCGTCAAACCACCCCTCCACCACCTCGGATGTCCCTTGGAAGCTTTTTGGTAGCCAGGGTTGGATTGGGGCCCTCTTGGAACCCTCTTGGGGACCTTCTGGAGCCCTCGTGGGGCCCACAAAACATGGTCGCCGTCGTCGCCTGATGGAATTTCTGCCCACCCCCGCGGGGGCAGAAATTCCCTCACTCTCGTCGTCGTCGTCGTCGTCGTCGCGGTCGTCGCCGTCCTCATCCTTCTCCTCCTACTCGTCCTTCTCTTCCTTCTCATCCTATGCATTATCCTTCTACCCGCTCCCTCATCCATCCATCCAGCCTCCTTATCCTCCTCCCTCCTTCGCACGGTTCGGCGATCCCCTGCTTTGCCCCCGCACTTCCCTCATCGCCTCAACTCGCCTGGGCACCGTTCCTGCATGGGCTGGTGGGGATGCGCGACGCGTCAAGGGGTGACACCCGCTAGCCTAGCGCCTAGCACGCTAGCAGCTAGCAGCTAGCAGCAAATAAACCGTTTCAAGATTTCATGGCACGGACCCCCAGGACATGTACGTGGCCCGATTGGGCCGCAAACAATGTTACATCACTAGCGCTGATGGTCGATCGAGCCCAATGGGCGGTTCGAACCCTACCCCCGCCAATGCTGAAATCGCATGCCCAAAGCGCTCATCAAACTTATTGCGCGTGATGCGTTTTCGACCACATCCCCAGCTTCCGTGCCCATGGAAAAAACGCTTGACTTGCAAACTGTTTTCTAACTTCGCATCACCTTTGTAATATGGTAGTACAGGGGCTCGTGCAAGCCAAGGTCCATGATGGCCTCATCGTCGGCGTCGTTCTGCGCGATCCTCAAAATCCGAATGAACACGTCCCCCTCCAGGAGCTTCGAACGCAGCTTCGGGGTGCTCAGGCTGAAGCAGTCCTTGACGATCCTGAATAATCGGTTCCTCATGTCCACAATCGGCTTTGCCGAGGGCGAACAAATGCAGAACCCAACTTTAGCGCACTCGGACAGCTGCTGGACACCATTGTCCTCTGCCTGCACGACTCCTTCAATGAGGCGGTTTTTGTATTCCCACAAGCTGTCCAAAGAACTGTTGAGATTCGATTTGCGCACATGGGTCAAGTCTTGAGCGGCAGCGTAGATTTTTCCAATGTCGTCGATCTCACCTCTGGGCGCCAACTCCAAGACGGGAGACCCAACGATGCAGGGAGTGGAACATTGAAAGACGCCCCCGTATTCTGAGAACTTTGTAATGTATTCATCAACCGTTTGTTTCATTATCGAACTGTTTTCGTTGATGTACTGGTCCACATGTGCCTGGAGATCCCGTTCAATTATAGCTTCCTTCTTCCTGGATTTCACCATGTACTGGTTCGCCATGCTGGCTACATCTGTGATGCTAAAGCCTGCCCCGGTCGCGTCCGAGATGACCTTATCGAACGCGTCCTTCCGATCCAAAGCTGCGTATGCCGTCAGAGCTGCGTCGACCCTAATCACGCGAGCTCGCCTCTCGGCTTGGCGAGCATTCATCGGGAACGACAGCATGCCGAGGCGAGCGCGTGCTGTGGCAGCCTGGCCAATCTCAGAAAGCCTCCTCATCTCATCGTCCGTCAAATTTCTGTACTCCTCTCCCATTCTGGCCAGATCACTGCTCCGCCGTTCGTTCAGGAATGCCCTCCATGCCCCGCCGCTCCGAGGCCGCGGCTCTGGGTCCGGGCTGGCCCCGTCGCCGCCGCCAGCGTCGCCGCTCGAAGCGCGCGCTTCCCCCCGCTGGCCAGGTGGAAACCGCGATCGGAACTGAGTCCCGACGCATGCTGCAGACAGCTGGAGGACGTCGAGCTGGTCAGTCTGAGGGCGTGCTTTTACTTCCCGTCTGAGCTGCGCATTCGCAACTTCATTTGGGACGATGTTACCTTGCAGCACCATGGCATGAGCAATAAGCCGATGAAAACAATCATCCGAACCGAGTTCGCAAGACGCTTCTAACTCTTTGAACCACTCGTCTTTCGTGCACGCAGGCTCGCGAGCCATATCGCCAGCGAGCTCTGGTTGGCAAATCAGGCGAAATGCTCTCATGGGGTACAAGGAGTTCGGGAAGAGCACCTTGGAGGTCACGTGGCACGCCGCCGAGCTGATCATTTTGAAGGCGATGCTGCGGGTACGATTCGTCAGCTCAGACTCCAGAATCAACAACCACATGGCAGGGGCGTGCATCAACTTTGAAAGATTCCCGAGGCACTGCATCTCCAGCACGCCGCCTGCCAAGATAAGAGCTGGATAATTTCGTACAAGGCCAACTGAGCCAGCACGAACTCTCTGGATAGCTTTCTGCCGCTCCTTTCTCTCGAAGCCTCTTGAAGACATGAACGTGTGATGGCTCAACAACGTCTGAAGAGGGTCAAACACATTTCTGAATATAACAAAACACGTGTGTGGGCAGGGCTTGACGCTTCGCAGAAATTCCAATGAGCGTCGGATCGACTTGGCAAGCCTCTCACAATATAGAGCGCTGTCGTCGAGGCCATCGTCATCGTCGCATTCGTCGGCGCCAGCCTGTCCGACAGCAGGTGCAGCATCATCGCGCTGTTCTGCTCGGCTCGCTTGCTTCTTTGACTGTTCTGATCTGCGTTTTACCCACAATTCGTAAGCAGGCCTCAACAAACCGAAGCAGACGTCGATCAGCCCGACGTCGCAGACGGCCTCCCGAGCACTGTTCCATTTCTGACGCTTCAATATTCGGATTGTACGGTAGGTAAGTCCAGACACCAAACCGTTCAAGACCGCCTGCTTCAATAGCTCGCCCGTGGAGCCAGTAGTGTCGTCGTAATTCAACGTCCACACGTCGATCCATGTGCGATCACACATATCACCATTTGGAAGCATGTCAAGTGCAACTCTCCTACGAACACTGTTTCCATCATGCGGCAGAAAGCATCTGACTGCGACTTGGCGGTGCAATTCTGCACTCCGAGGGGGCGGGCCGATCCTGAATCTGATCTTTGGCCGTGCCACATCTCTCAAACATTGTCGAAAGCTGTCCCATTCACCAGAACTGTCGAATGACCTCGCGATGTGGATCATGCCCGTGACTGCGTGCTCCATGTGCTTGCACACTTCGCTGTGTCCACGCGCAATCGTGTGTACATCGCAATCCGCCGTCGCGCCTCACATGGCACGCCGAGGCGCAGTTGCATGCCGAATGCTGTCTAGCAGGGCTCGTCTAATATGTTCAATTGCTCCCCCGCCCATTTCTCGCCGTGCCCATCTGCGCGCGCCCCCCCTCCACCCCGAGGCCCTCCTGGGCTGTCCAACGCTCCCCTGGCGCCCACTGAGGCGCGCAAGATCCCCCAGAAAACCTTTGAGACTGCCCAAGAACGCCACCTGATCCACCGAGATGTCCCGATGCGCCCCCCCAAGGCAGGATCAGATGGGATCGGACAGAAAAGAAAACAACTTCAGCAACCTCAACTTGCCGCGCCATAGCGAGCGTTGCACGCGCGAGGGCAAACGTTGAGTGAACGGCCCTGGGGGTAAGCACTGAGCGAACCACCCTTGGGAACAACGGGCGTGCGAAG